ATGCTGTTACCTTCCCACCGAAGTGGTCCCTATTTATCTACTTGCATTTGCATGCTTTCGAACCGCTAGGTTGGCAGGAGCTGGGACAAGCGACAGGAGCTCACTCCGTCGCGTGGATTCGATCTTACGACTGCTTGGTCTTCTGACCCTGCAGCACAGGCTTCTGCGGTTTAGCCCGCAGCGCCACCACGTCCCTTAAGTACGGTATCTATGACTTTTTCAGTTGTATTTCCAATTGATGAGGTCATCATCTCTTTTATTACTTACTCTTTCCATTTTTTCTGCTGTCTTTTAGATCTATATCCAGACACGGAATCCACAGAATCTTACCATGACTATGGTACGGGATGAATATCCTTCCAACCCAATGATACTGCGCGGTATTAATAATCAGAAAGCTGACTTCCAGCAGTACCAGCCTGTTGTGATGCTTCAAAAGGGTTATACAATACATTGGAATGGTCAAGCCCCACAAACAACATTCCTGTACCTCATTAACTTCAACAAGTATGTTCACCTTTGATACCAGTTTTGAATTTAAAAACAAAACAGAAGTCAGCTGGAATTTATATGCAATCAGAAGTGTTATACGAAGATCTGTCTACATGAAACAGCATGACACCATTAAGATTTAGATATAAACTTCAATTATTTTTAGGTTTTGTACTATGGTTTTACCTTACCTCTAGTGTAAAGAATGTTAATTTTGTTTCAGTCTTCCTGGCTATTTTGATATGAACAAAATACACTGAATATTCAAACAGGTAGTTTTAATCTGTGGACACAGTATTAGAAACTCTTGGCTTCAGTTGTCTCTCACACAGTTGCTGGATAAACCCATGCCTTCATTTATGGCTAGCCCCTGTTTTTCAGGTGGATGAAGACGTTTTTGTCTTGTTCTATTTTCAGGAATGACTGGATTCGGGTTGGCCTCTGTTACCCACCAGACACCATTTTTCAAGTAACATTTGATGTGTTCCAAAGGCAGGCCTCCGCTTACTATAATGTGGAATACTATGCTCCTGTTTCTTCTATGGCAGAACTACAGAAGACTCGAACAGAGAAAATTTTTTATTTTGATAACAGCACTGGGTAGATAATTTATAATAATAAAGTATTAAGATGTAGTAGAGCTAAGCATTGTTTCATCTGCAAAAAAAATAGTGATTGGCCTGGTTCTTTGAGTGTGGAAAGTTGTGCCATTAATGTAATTCCGAAATAGCAATTTCTGTGGCTTTTGGTAATGACTGTGGTAGTTAGTCAAGTTGTCACATTTCCAGAGGTTACTGTAATGTAAGCTGTTTTGAGTATAGATGAAAAACAGGATGCAGCAGAAGCCACATTAGTCATAAGACAAATACCAAAATTCATTTTGTGGGGTTACCCTTATTAGGCCTGCTAAAAAGGCACAGCATTCTCTGTGCAAGTGTTAAAGGTAAAATATCTGCTTATCAAACATAATGTTACAAAAATATGTGGGAGAGTTCGATGTTTGCTCAAAGTAATGTTGTGTATTGCATAAAGGTGTCATAAGAGAGATGTCACAGGCATTACATTGAATTTCCAGCTCTTTCCCCCTGCCTTTTTGCCTTCAGAGGTCTCAAAGGGCTTCCTCTGATGTTGGGGGGGAAAGCCCTTTAAGACCTCCAGAGGCGCCGATCGTGGTGGCGGGGACTCCCAGGGAGGTCTCCAATGGCGGTNNNNGGGAAGCTCGCAGGGCTTCTCCGCCGCCATCTGAGACCTCCTGGGGGTCCCCTGCCACCACAATCTGTGCCTTCAGGCTTTCCCGGGGAGTAGACTGGGCCTACCAGGGGAAGCCCTCAGGAGCTGTATTATATATCTTAGGACCTTCTGCAGAGGTCTTGCACCAGTGTTCATTCATTCACTGAAGTATAGATAAATGAAATAACCAACCTTTATAAATCACATCCTGCCTCTCTTACCCCTCTGGCCTGCCCAGTACAAATTTCGTCATTTGCACAAAGAAGAGTTACAGGAAAGATAGCATTTTTGTCTTTTTGAAAGACTCTTCTTTCTGTATATGTATGTACATACGGAGACTAAAATGCCCAGTTGGACTGTTTCTCATCTCTTCTGGATACTTAAGTAGTCTGATCGCAGAGAAAAGATCCCTTATGTAACACCAGAATTGATAGATAGTGGGGTTCTTGTGAAGATGACTTGATCCATGATTAAGCACATTGCACACCTAAAAGTTCTGAATAAATTATGAGTCCTGGTGCAGATAATTTTATGTGCAAAGCAAATAGGTATGCTCAAAGTCACTTAATTTTCCCTTATTTCATTTTCTTATATTGAAAATCTAGCACAAATGAAAGAGCTTTTGTATTCACTAGGAGGGTGATTGAGGGGGTGGGAAGGAGATGTCTGTTTATATTTGCCATACATAAGAGCAATATAGTGGTGCCTCGCTTAACAATTGCTTCGTATAATGAAAAATTCGCTTAACGATGGCTTTTTCAGAGTGATCTTGCGCTCTGTTTAACGATTTTCCCTATCGGTGATTTTCGCTTAACGATTTCGGGACCATGCTTCGCCCAACGATTAGGTTTTTGGTCCCCTTGTTTCGCTTAACGATGTTTTCACATAGCGATTTTTTTGGAACCAATTAAAATCGTTAAGCGAAACACCATTTCCCATAGAGATGCATTGAAAACTGGATAATCCGTTCCAATTGGAACGGATTATCCAGTTTTCAATGCATCTCTATGGGAAATGGTGTTTCGCTTAACGATGTTTTCACATAGCGATTTTTTTGGAACCAATTAAAATCGTTAAGCGAAACACCATTTCCCATAGAGATGCATTGAAAACTGGATAATCCGTTCCAATTGGAACGGATTATCCAGTTTTCAATGCATCTCTATGGGAAATGGTGTTTCGCTTAACGATGTTTTCACATAGCGATTTTTTTGGAACCAATTAAAATCGTTAAGCGAGGCACCACTGTATTGGAACTGCCCTCCTACTCTGAATTTTCCTGCAATCCAAATGTGATGGATGGGGTTAAATAAAGTCTACCATATTTTTCCATGTATAAGATGTCCCCATTTATAAAACACCTCTCCGTTTTCTAACCCAAAATTAAGAAACCTAAGTGGGGCTTAGCAAGTGGAGGGGGAAAGCAGGGATCAAAGCCCTTTGATCCCTGCTTTTCCCCTCCGCTTTCTTGCCAAGAAAAATTCCCTGCTTTTGTGAAGAAAGTGGAAGGGGAAGCACTTTCTTCAAAAGAAAGTGGAGGGGGAAGGCAGGGATCAAGTGGAGGGGGAAAGCAGGGATCAAAGTGCTTTGATCCCTTCTCCCCTCCTTCCGTGTATAAGACGACCCACAATTTTAATCTAAAGATTTTAGACAAAAGTGTTGTCTTATACATGGAAAAATACAGTATTTGCTAGGCACAGTTTGGATGAAGAATTGCCCAAGGATTATAACAGATTTTTTTGTTTAAAAAATGGCTTGAGGGGAGTTCTGTGAATTAAACTACCGTGCTACCACATGTAGTTTTGTAACTGTATGTGCTCTGTTTTGTGTTCTTGTTTTTCCTTCATATGCGCATAGGTTGCTGTTCTTGTTTCTTCAAGCCAAATATCACAGAGATGGCCACAGTTACTGTTCCTCTCAGGGATGTGAAAGAGTCAAGATTCAGGCCACCTTTCAGTCACGGCCTGTCAGTAACTGCTTGACAAAAGCTTATCCAAAGTATTCACAGAAGCCAACAGTTGTGAAGAGAATGCCTCCCAAAATAACTGGTTCCTGTCAAAAATGTGGCTCAACTCAGGTGTGGAAAGATCATATTTTTAAGAGTACATGAACTGTTAAAGCTACTTGTAGTTACCTTTGACCCAACCCAGCCTTAGTATTAGGCACAGTTAGATGATGAACTCAGGCAGCAAATTCTGAAAGGCAGTGGCACCTTTCTTTCTTCCATCCATTCCTCCTGAGCACTTTAGCCTTTTCCCTTCTGTTGGAGGCCAGAACTGTATGTTCCACTCAGCTCCTCATGGCTGTCCTCTGGCGGCCTGCTGCCGCAGGGCAGTGGAAAATGGTTTCCCATTGTCATTGCTGAAACAAGAAATTATCCAGTTCATTCAGTTTTACTTGTCCTTTATGCCAGGTAGCAAAATCTGATGACTGTATACTTCCTTGTAAATCACTCTGTGCTGCATTGCTTCTTTTCTGACTTGTTTCAAAGCTTACCTTTCATTTCACAGGAGAAAAATCCATCTTGCCTTATACTTAATAGCTTTTCTGTGCATCAATATAACAACTATACCTTTTCACTTTAAAAAGTCATATGTGCACAGATTTTCATTTTGTAGTTAATACATTTTTTCAGTCAGCAGCTTTAGTCATTGTATCTTGAAGTGCTAATGATGCTATTAATTACTTCCTGCTTTTAAAATGTGAATTGTATCCTTCCCATTCAGATGGCGTTTACCAGTGATCCTCATAAAACCTACCTCTTTGTGAAAATAGAGTCCCCCAATAGGCAAGAATCACAAAAGAGCCAAGAATCTTTTATCTCAGTAAGTGTTCTCTGATGACCTTCCTTGTGGCATACAAGCCTTCACTTATGCAAGAATTATGTCATTGCAATGTAATGCTTTCTCTCCATCATAACCCCTTCAGCTTTTGAAAACAAAATTCTGCAGCAGCTAACAATATAATTAGAGTGTGTAAAATGCTTTTGCAAAACAAAGAAATGTGGGTTTGGTTTTTTGCTTGTAGTATTCCTGTTAGTTGCTGTTGGTAAACTATAAATGGAATAAATAAATTATATGTTATTACATAGTAATGAAACTATACCTGGCCTCAAGTAACAACATGCTTTATTAATGCCTTTTGAAAGTTACAATTAGAAGGGAAACAATGTTATGGTTCTGTTCACTTCAGCTCCAAAGGGTTAGAGGCGGTGATGCAGTTTTAATTCTTGGTGTGCTGCTACTTTCCACTTTGGGATTAAGTATAGAGCTGGGGAGTAAAAGTATGTTTCAGACTTCGAGGGTAGGAGTTTAATTAGTATTTATGTCATATAGCTCTATATGTGTCTTTCATTGGTGGAATGGTAAAAACTCTTCAGTCCTTCAGTACTCAAAAGAAGTAGACTGGCGGTGTTCTTCTGGTTGCTTGGTTTTTCCTATTTATGTGGGAAATGGAAGCCTCTGTAGATTATTCTAGTTGTGAGTTTTTGAAAATAAATTAATTAGGCTTGTTAAGATGAACAGATACCTCACTGAAAATGCTGATGCCATCCCTTTTATAAGCTTAAGCAAAAGAAGGTCTAGAGTTCTATAATGAATTACCCATTGCAGGTGTCAGTGACCTTTTTTATTTTTACCTGAACTGGCAGTTTACTTGACGGTGGTCTCAGTAGCACAAAGAGGAGAAAAGAGCCTTGGCCAGAGTTCATGGAAGGTCACAGAAAACTGGTCAGCAGAGTGCAATCTGAGAAAAAGACAAATTGTTAACAAACTGTTATCTGCCAGAAACACACTGTTGCTGTCTTGTGTGCCAAATTACGATAAATGCAGTGGAACCACCACTTTCAACGGATTATAGTATTTACAAATTACTGTTGGAGGGATGTTATTTATGAGGCCTCTCATTTCAGGTTAATGGCGTTAAGTTTCCATTGAAAGGTATGGGTGTACTCACGGTAGTCGTTGATGCATGCACCGGCAGAGTAGCAAAGGAAACATTTTTCCCTGAAGCAAACATCAAGCACCTCGAAGATTATATAAAAACTCAAATTCCCCAAAGGTATATTAACACAATGTAAACTGATCAGCTTGCTAATAGCATTTTTTCCCCAAAATAATTGCATTAGCTATTTTGCATTGCATTTTCAAAGGATCTCTATTATAATAGCTAAATGTTTTCCATAGAACAATGCTTTAGGGAATTATGATATTTCTGTATCTTATTAACATCCTTTGACTTGTGTGCTTGAAATTATGATCATAGTTCTTATACTCTTGATGTAAGAACTGGATGTTCCAGGCTAGGGAGGGATTTGTATTCTGCTCATTAGGATTCTGATCATTATGGATTGATCACAGTACCTAAAGACAAGTGTACTATGACCAATATTCTTCATTGTCTTTTTTTCCCACTAGGTCTATAGTTCTGCTAACCACCAGAGGGAATATTAAAAATCTTAACATTTCTCAAGCCTTAATGACCCTGGGAGCAGCGAAACCAGCAAGTCTTCAGAACATGGGTTTGTGTTGTCTTACACATAAAATGTGACCTTTCCTTTATTAGATGTAGAATTCTTAAGATGTTGCTTAAATTCTTTCTATGTTTAACTGATTTGGATATTTTTCCAGACAAAGACTGAAAGTAGGATTTTTATGGTTGTTTTCTGAAAAAGAAAAATTGATTCAGTTTTTTTAGTGATTATGACTATTTTGTTCTGAAATATATCTCTCTTCATTGTTCTCTCTCTTGATTTTTCATTTGTTTGTTTCAGGGAACACTACCTTTTTTGGATTCAGAGGAAACTTTAAACCATCTTGGATAAAGTTCTTTACCAACTCTTCAGAGCAAGGCCTAGGTCCAATTGAAAAGTATATTCCTTTACAGCTGGAAGAATATGGTTGTGCCAGAGTGAACACTAGTCGGCGAAAGGATATGGAACTTTTAAAGCAGGCTCTAAGAACAGAGTAGAAATTTAAGGTGCATGTGAGCACTGAAGACAATGTGAACTAATTTATTTATTTTATGGGATTTGAAAATGTACTCTTATCCTAAGGACATTCTTTTGCTGTTTTGATATGGACATATGCCTACGCTGAATGCTTGAATGCCAGTCTGTGCACCTTTGGATTGTACAAAATGTTAAAGAATCAAAGTATTTGTTAAAATATAGGTTTTTAGGGGGTGGGGGACGCTTCTAATATTTGTACTTCTCATAAAAAGCCTTTTGTCTTCTACTCTTTTTGGTGTTGTGTTCTTCAGAAGAGAAATTGCTGGAAGTTTTGGCTACATTGGCAGATTTTGGCAGAAAATATAGCATTGCACCTTGATTTACTTGAAAGTTTTTGAAAACTCTTATTTCTATATGCATTATATAGAGTCCAGTTTGTACATTATAATTGGCTACTTTTTTCTCCTTTCATTCTAACTTAGATATGTGGTCTATTCTCATTAATAGTGAATATAGGAGACAGGGCAAATACTTCATAGATGGGTGAAGTACAGTTTCAAGGTTTCTCTGGCAATGAATGTTGCTCTGGTAGCATTCCCTCTGTTCATATAATATATAAGAAGACTTAAAGCCTTCTGATGAGATAGAGGGAAGGTTGCCAATGTATTCATTCACCTTAGTAAAGGTAAAGGTTCCCCTTGACAATTTTTGTCCAGTCGTGTCCGACTCTAGGGGGCGGCGCTCATCCCGCTCTTCAAGCCATAGAGCCAGCGTTTGTCCGAAGACAATCTTTCCGTGGTCACATGGCCAGTGTGATTTAGACACGGAACGCTGTTTACCTTCCCACCGAGATGGTACCTATTTATCTACTCGCATTTGCATGCTTTCGAACCGCTAGGTTGGCGGGAGCTGGGACAGGCGACGGGGGCTCATTCCGTCGCGTGGATTTGATCTTACGACTGCTTGGTCTTCTGACCCTGCAGCACAGGCTTCTGCGGTTTAGCCCACAGCGCCACCACGTCCCTCTATTCATTCACCTTAAATTTACTTAAACTGATGATAGCAGTAAAATTTACATTTGACTAATGTTAACAGTGCATCTCTTGCTTCCTACGCAAAAGTTTTGAGAGCCCATTGCAAAATTTGTGTGGTTGCATTAAATATTTGGGGAGCCAATTTCTGCTTGTACAGTGATGCATCCACTAATACAGTGGCTTGTTTTCCCAGTAGCTTTGCTTAGCTATGAACTGAGATCAGTGGGATCAGGATCAGATGCATCTGTAACAACTGTCCAGTTGATGCATGCCTCATAAAACAAGATCGGTTGTAAGGACCTCTCAAGACCAGCAAATAGTTAGGAAGTATGTGAGGATTTCTGTCCCCATTTCATTGTTCTAGGGACAGTCTATTTACTAATGCAGTAATATCAATGCCTGATGGGAAAACAGGGTCAGGCTTTTGACTGTACTAGAGGAAGTGTTTTCCTGTTGGCCAGCTGTGTCTTTTGACAGGAAGAGGACTTCTGCACAGTTTCTTGGAGTGCCCATGAATCTTAACTCTTAGCTTTTCCTTCCATTGTAAGGCACATGGGCCAATGAGCAAAAAGCTGTGAGGGCTCCCTATGGTGTGAGAGAAAGCCCCTTACTGATCTTTCCTTCTAGGCCAAGACAGCACAAGAGCAAATCAGGGAGGCACTTTAGGTTTCATCAATGTGTGTTGTTTCCTGCCCGTAGAGCAAATAGATGGAAGAGAAGGGGTGCTGGCTTTCTGTTTTCAGGGCCATTTTCTTCTTGCAGCTAAGCAAGAGAGGACTTTAGACAAAGCAGAAGAGCTTTGTGGCACTGCAGTTAAACAGCAGTGAAGACTACCCAGAACCTGAATTCCATCCTGGGCTCAGGTAGCTGGCTTGGTTGACTCAGTCTTCTGTCCTTCTGAAGTCAGTAAATTGAATACCCAGCTTGTGTGTGAGGGGAATGTGTAGCCTGCATAATTAAATTGTAAACAACACAGAGACTACTTTAAGCACTTTGGGGCGGTATATAAGGAGCACACTTTGCTTTTGCTTTTCCCAGTTTCCTTCCTGACTCTGTTGGGAAGGGAGAGTGAAAGAGAATGGCCTTGACCAGAGGCTTTTTTCCCACTGCAGTTGGCCTGGAAGAGCACCATTGGAGAGGCAGGTATGGACAAGAGTCAGGCCACAGTACAAGAGCTTTATCCCATCTCCCTTCTTCTATTTGAATCAGCAGTTCTGTGGAAAGATGAGGCTGCTTGCACCATCTCAGAATTAGGTCTTCACTCACTTTTGTGGCAAAAAGTGTATGTATCAGACCATTCTCAAATAAAAAGTTACTTTTTATAGGCGTTCTGCCATGAGAGTGAACAAATACAAACGAACGGAAGAGGAAGGTGTCAACACTGAGGAAAGGTAGTAGGTTACAGGAACAAGATGAGCATCTTAGCACATCTTTATCTTTGCTTCAGCCCTGATTTCCTTCCTGTAGACAGTTCTCGTTTTGGAACAGGATGTCCTTATTTTTCCAGTGGCCTCCCCTAAATCTATTTCCGAGGGTTGAGGGGCCCTTTGAGAATGCTTGCAGAACAGTGAAGTTGAAAGGAAAAATCTGTATACGATCCTCCTCTCCTTTGTGTGAATGGAATACTAATTTCTAGAGTTTTAAACATTTTCTTGCAATGTGGTGTCTAGTCTAGGGGTTGAGAGCATTAAATGTATCCTTGTTTCAGACAGTGAGGGCCACTGTCCTTCCATTGCTATCCCCTCAGCCTTCCAAGTGTTTCGATTGGGGATGCTAAACTAACCAAGGGCAGTATATTTTCACTATGGACTGACTTAGCTTTTAATGCTGTTTTCCAAGGAACTCATCCATTCTTTCCAAATTGATTTGGATCCTACTTCGTGGATTTTCATGCCAGATGTATGGATTTATGTATGGAGCTTTGTAGGGGAGAGAAGAAAAATCTTAAAGTTAATTCTGTTTTTTTTAACATCTAAAACCCATCTGCTCTCACTGAAAAATGCATATGAGAGGAGTGAGTACTTCCCAGGGCAATATTCTTCACTCGAATTCATAGCTCATTATTTCCTCTCGTAAGTGCCGGTAAGCTTATTATTCAGTGCTTGTATTCATGCTCACAGCTTTCAGTTCAGCAGTGGGAGTGTTTTTCTGTTCTTCTAATTTCAGTCTGAGGGAAGAAAGAATTCCTTTGCTTTCTAAAAACTAAATAGGTACTGATGTCCCAGATGTAAAGAGTGTGTCTGGATGCCTAGAATGTAAATTTATAGTCAGTAATATTGTTTCCTTCTAGTTCTGAAAAACATTCTCTGTGCAACTACAAGGGTTGCCATGGCCTCAAAACCAAACCAAAACTGAACTTTGTTAACTTCACAAACTACATGGGAGAGCTTTTTGATATACTTACAAGTAGCTTATGCTGTAATTAATTCTGTTAGTCTTTAGGATGTGACAGGTCTCTTGTCTCTGAAGAACTCTGAAGTAAAAACATCGTGCCTGCCTGTCCCTTTGGTAATCATTTTGTGAGGCAGAAACTATGGTTTTCTAATAGTAATGAGGAAACGTTGGAAATGAGATACTAAATCTATGTATTTGCTTTCTTCTGCAAGGATATGATTCATATTTTAATTTGTGGTAGGAATTGGAATCCATCTCCCTCTCCGTCTCCCTCTCCCTCTTTCTCTCTCTGCATTCCATGTGGAGACTTTAAAAGTACACCAGAAAAATATCAAATAATAGATATTGGAACAATTGTAATTAATGGATACAGATTCCCAGCTCTTCTACATCATAGAAAGGTTGCTGGGAGTGCACAGAGGTATAACTAAAAAGAAAATTGAAGGTTGCTTTTCTATCCATCTGTCCACTGGTTATCATAATTCCTTATATCACTCACTTAGCATGTTTTCAGTCAGATAATCCTTCGGCTAATCATATTTGAATGCAAAGTATGGTTTTGCAGACATGACTCATAAAATATGTATTTTCCCCCTCAAACATGCCTTTTGTGCAAGAATTACAGAGAAGCTGAGTTGGTTCATCATGTTGCCTTACACAATATGCTACCTCAGTCATTGCCAATAAATCATTCATGGTGATAACTTCCTTTTGTGTTGCAATTTCTCTCTTTCTCTTTTCCTCGATATGATAGGTAGGTAATTAGAGTACCAAAACAGAAAAAAAAAGACCCTAAACCTCTAGGAGTTGCTAAGTCTGCAAATGAATTTTCGAGCTCTCCTCAGAGAGCAATTAGTGAATTAGTCAATTTCCATCACAATATATAGGTTTCTGTCACAAGACAGCCCATCATCCTCTGGAGACTGAAGTCATTTTCAGTAACTCCTGCAGCTACAGAATGTTGTCCATAAACATTGTTGCCTAGGTGAGAATTTGCTTTTCTGCTAGATGTACAGCACGTTCTCAAGCTGTTGCTCAAACTGTAGTTAAAAGTAATATTTGTGTGTGCTGTCAAGTCCACTTTTACTTAGAGTGACCCTTTCCGAGGTTTTCTGTGCAGAGACTATTCAGAAATAATTTACTCTTCCCTTCTTTTGGAGACACCCTGGGATTGCACAGCTTGCCCAAGGCCACACAGACTGGTTCTTCTTCCAGGGGACACAATGGAGAATGCCTAATGTGGTGGTGTGGATTGAATGACAGACTAGGACTGAGGAGGCCTGGGTTCGAATCCCTGTTCAGCCATGGAAACTCACTGAGGGTGTGCAACTGTTAAAGCCACTCCTTATATATCATACTGACATTGAAAGCCCTAAGTCAGTTCTAACTACGGAGTGTGCTACCATAATGATGCTAGCGATAACCACCTATTTGGGTTGTTTTAGAAAAGAACTGGCCTTGCTAATGGAGAATAAGGCTATTAAGGTTTATATGTGGTGATGCTTATGTATTATCTTCAGTATCAGAGACAGTATGGAGAATCAGCAACAGGTGAGGAAGGCAGGGACGGCCAGTTCTTTAAGAACTGAAGCACTGGGCCGGAGGCAGAGTTATATAGCCAGGTGTAGGGGAGGTCCCAGCACTTAAGTGCTTAAAGCTGTGGAAGTTACTGCTCTGCTCAGCTGCAGATTAACCCATTAGTGTGAATTCACAGAGGACTATTTGAAGAGCCAGAGTTACAGGTAGGTAACCTCTTTTATATGTGGTGATGCTTATGTATTATCTTCAGTATCAGAGACAGTGTGCCTCTCTGTCCCAGAGAAAACAAGTGGAAGGGTACTATTGCCATCATGTATTGGACTATAGAGGGCTTCTTGTTGATCCAGCATGGCTGTTACATGATTCTTAAACAGAATTGATGCAACCACACCCACACTGTGTCTCTTCCATAGGAC